GTATCCTCCTGCATGCCCCCTATTTTGGCCAGAGTGCTGATTTCAAGAGCAAGCCCTGCTTCAGCCTGACACCACACCATGAATGTTGATGCTGTCTGTGTGCAGAATCATGGTCAAGTTGAGAGTCAGACTTGGATGGTTTGGAGCTCTGCAATCTGGCTCCTCAAGGACCACATGGCTCTCTCCCTTCCTAACCCACCCCCCAGACTAACTAGGCATGGTGGACTAATCCTTTATTGAACTAACTGTTCAATAACAACTCAATTTCCTTCAATAACCTTCAATTGCAGCTCGCTGGAGAACGCATTTCTGAATCAGTGCCAGAGAGGAGCAGGAAGCTGTGATCCAGGGTGGTGTCAGATAAGAAGATTTATTATCTCTCTTACAGCCTCGAAATGCCTGCCTTGCTCACATCCTTGCAGAGCAGCAGAGCAGCCGGTTTACACACAGGGGCTTCGCTGTCGATCTGGCTTTCCTGTCTGAACGTGAGCACACACACACGCACGCAGACGGATCGGGGTAGTCGCACACACACGCAGACGGATCGGGGTACTCACACACACACGCACGCACACGGATCGGGGTACTCACACACACGCGCAGGCGAATCGGGGTACACACATCCACGGATCGGGGTACTCTCTTACACACACACACGAACACACGTATGCAGACGGATCGGGGTACTCACACACACACGCAGACGGATCGGGGTACACACATACGCGCAGGCGGATCGGGGTACACACACACACGGATCGTGGTACTCTCTTATACACACACACGGACACACGCATGCAGACGGATCGGGGTACTCACACACAAACACGCGGACGCAGACGGATCGGGGTACACACACACGCACGGAGACGGATCGGGGTACACAAACACGCACGCGGTCGCAGACGGATCGGGGTACACACACACGCAGACGCAGACGGATCGGGGTACTCACACAGCGGAAGAGCCAGGAGACTCCACAGCAGCATGGCCGTGCGCAGCTCGGCAGGACACAGTGTGAGGGGGAGACACCAGGCAAACCGACAGACTCTCAGAAAGGGGAAGTGGGGATTTAGCAACGTTTCAAAACTCTGTCGACTTCTAGAACAGTGTGGGCGCAGGTGAGAGGTCTCCCGTGTCAGCAAGTTCATGCTGCTTCCTATGCAACTGAATCCCACAGTGTTTTTGTAAACGCAGCAGTGTCTGTAGTTCGTCCTTCTGGACAAGGACAGCACAGTGGTGGGGTCTCAGCATTGCTGGGGCCCTGGGTTCAATTCCAGACCGAGGGGGCTGTCTGTGTGGAGTTTGCATGTTCTCCCCAAATTCACGTAGGTTTCCTCTGGTTGCGCTGGTTGACTTCCACAGTCCAAAGACATTCTGGTAGCTTAGCTGGGCTCTGGGAGAACTGGCCGATGTGAGAGTGTGTGTGCTTGTGTCTGTGTGTCCTGCCTGGTGCCCATCGCTTGAAGGGTTATGTTCCAGCCCCTCTGTGACAATGAATTGGATAAGGCTGTTAGAAAAGGGATCAATGGATGGATGTTCTTGACAAAAACAATAGTTATGCAAAAAGATTCAGAACAAAAAGTCTACTGTATGCTGCCTCCCTGTCTACTTGCTGGCTTGCTAAGAGCCGAGAGGAACACGGCGCTTGCTCAGCCTCATGACAGGGCCGAGAGCTCTGGACTCTGGTGACGGGGTGTCTCAGCAGCAGTCTGTGATGTGTGAGAGGCTCCCAGATGTGGAACCTGCTTCCCTAAGACCCCAAGAATCCGAAGGGATATAAGGCTCTAGGAGCAGGTCTGACTGGGGCTAGGCAGCCAGCTAGGAATGGTCAGCTGCTCGGTGCTGCAGATTGGCTGGTGAAGAGGCACTGACCTTCAGGGCCACGCCCATCTCACAAAAAGCAAAAATTCTGAGAAATACTGTAGATCCTGGGATACACCTGGACACATCATCAGTGATGTTTCGGGAGTTTCGGCATCACACTCCCTCGCCCAGGAGACCCAGCCAGGACTGAACGAGTCCCGGCTCACTCCTCCCTCTGGTCTTCCCAGGAGCCGCTAGATCTGCCATGCCCACCCGCTCCGATACAATGTGGTCTTCACTTCGGGTTCAGGGCCCTTACGCTGCCTCCCCAGGTCGACCTTCAGCTGCCAATCTCTCGCTGTTGCCAGGACACGCCCCGGTGAACTCGCCACCCTTAATCAACTCCTTCACATTCCAGTGAAGTTTCCAATTAACTAATCAGACACACCTTCTCCCACCTGCCTACTTAAACCAACCTGACACAACACACTACTCCTTGCTCAGTAGTGGGTTTTACCCAGCTAGAGCTGCATTGTTTCCTGGCTTCTGGATCTTGACTTGGTTATTGTGGATTTACTGGTTTTTGACCCTGGCCTGGCCTCCTGACCCATGTGTTTGGATAAACTCCTACTGGTACTTTTGAGTTCTGAGGATTCTGCTTAGGGTCATTCTGCTGGATCGTGATGGACACCTGCTGATAATTTGGCCTGTTGGATGCTGAGCAGCTCTGACTAATGCAATGGCCTGATTTGTTTGGTGCTGATGTTTACTGCTGTTAACACTGTCTAATAAGGTCTTCAGCACCTTGTCCAAACTCTATATTCGAGCCTAGAGCAAAGTCTGAGCAGCCCTTAAATATTCCTGACTCGCTTGGAGCGAAGGGATGGTATTGCTTCCAGGTGATCCAGGTCTCCTGTCACTTGGAGTCCATGGCATACAGTACATCTTCATTGTAAATGTGCTACAGCAAGCTGACTCACACCACAGCTCAAAGGGTGTCAACATAAAGAAAATGCTAGGAGACAGTAGTAGTACAATCACAGATTATTTATTGGCTTCTGACCAATCAATTTCTCATCATTCTAAATTTACACAGTATCGATATATACCCTACAGTAGTATTGGTAGTAGTATCCAGCATTTTATTAATGTATTTGCAGTCCATGAGTTTGGGGGTTCATTGTTGGGAGGGGGTATACAAGGATGAGACACAGGTAGTGGTGCCCCAAGAGATATAGGCACAGTTGGACTAAGTCACTGCTGGCCAACCCCTGATTTGTGCACAGTGGTACAACCCTCTCCCCCCTGCTGAGGGCTCATTGGTGTAGTCTTCTTGAGGGTGTGTGGCTCACCATGTGGAGCAGTCTTGGCAGGAAGTCCCCGCCCACAGCTGGACTGCTGCTTTCTGATTGGCTGCTGTCATCTCTTCCTCGGCAAGACGAGTCAACCCTACAGCCCTCTGGAGGGAGAAGGAATGAGATGGTCATTGGAGGAAAGATGGGAAGAGAAAAAAGGAGATAGGAGATCTACAGGCTACTGATCACCTCCTCCACACTCCTGCTCACACTGACACCTGGAGATCTACAGTACTGATCACTTCCTCCACACTCCTGTTCACACTGACACCTGGAGATCTACAGTACTGATCACCTCCTCCAAACTCCTGCTCACACTGAGACCTGCAGATCTACAGTACTGATCACCTCCTCCACACTCCTGCTCACACTAACACCTGGGGATCTACAGTCTACTGATCACCTCCTCCACACTCCTGCTCACACTGACACCTGCAGATCTACAGGAGTCAGACAGTTGCCTCTCCTGAAGTTAAATGTGAGTAGATTCATCTCAATTACCCAGATCACTCTGATTTATCCCTCTGCAGCGCAAGAGTCACACTCTCCTTAATGGAGAACACTTGACACTTTCTGTGAGCACAGGCCTGCAGTGTCTCTGCATGATCATGTTTAATCTCTTCAGCCTATCCAGCTGGATAGGGCTGGGGATCTTTCCATCAGTGATCCCAAGACCCTTCTTGTCTCTTATTAGCAGAGCTGCCTCAGGTTTTATCACAGGATCCCTGAAATCCCGACATGTCTGGCATCCTCTTTGATCCGTTTCCAGTTTTTACCATTAATCGAAAATAGAAGGAAAAACACAGGACTACTTTCATAGCTTTTTGTTCTTATACAACTTGATCAACATTTTCTAAGTTCAACTCCAGCAAGACGTTATACTGCGGTGTCTGACCTTCATCACAGCAGACCCCTGGAGCAGCACAGCGCCCCCCCTCAGCACCACAGGCTCTGCCCCCGGCCTCGCAGGGAGATGGCAGGTAATTCTCCTCCAGGCAGCGCGCTGTCTCAGGGGTGCCCACATAGCAGCCCAGCTCCTCCCCACAGCAGATACTGGGGCCAAAACAGCGCCCCCTGTCCTCGGGGCCACACACCATACAC